TAGTCCCAAGAAAATGCTGGGCTTGGTATTCTCTGTGTTTAGGCACTGCTACCAGAGACCAATAAAGTGACAGGGCCCTTCATGTGGGGGTTTCATCCTTCTCCTGCAGGCTCTGTACACAAGTATTATTGTTTTGTTTCCTGGTTTTGTGCTTAATGAAATGAACTAGAAGTGGCAAGCACTCAGTGTTCAGCTGGAGATATTAACTATAAGCAAGATGAGCAAAGAATGAAAGCCTCAGAACATACTTACATACTTCATAATACAAACATTTTATAATGTCGAGAGACCTGGCACTACTATCCTGATGGAGGACATTCTGGAGGATTTTACTTGCAAAAAAAAGTCTGTGATAGAATGCCCTGTGGACAAAATACTGCAATTAAAAATCTATTTGAAATCCATTCTCAAGATGGAATTCAATTTGATTTAATGAGTGCTGCCCTAGGTTTGACCTCTCTCTAGTATATTTGACTAAATTGTTTTAGATAATTTGCTGCATTACTTTTAATTAGTTCAAGTGTTCCTCATAGTAAAGAAATACAATTATCTGTTGGCCTTTTATTTGGTAATGCAGTATATGGCAAATTAATATGAAGGTTTTAAAACTGCAACACATTATAAAATAACATCCTATATCATCTTTAGTGGGGACATTTTATCAATACATATTATATATCTTTTACAGATTCACAGTACATGCTGAATTAGAAGGAACCCACAAGGATCTTCAAGTCCAACCCTCAGCCCTGCACAGGACCATCCCCATGAGTCACAGCACGTGCCTGAGAGTATCAACCTAATATACACTGAAATCTCCAGAGTTCTGAGGAACTCTTGCATAATTAAATATGATATTGCATAAAGAGTAATCCTGATAGGATTTGAGAATTGCTCTTATACCCCTACAGGAAAAAAATCTTAGAACAGAAACTGTCTTTTTTGCAAAAATGTATCGAGTGTGCAAGAAATACTAGGTTCGACAGTAAACAAAAGGAATCATGTTTTAATTATACAGGAATGGGAGTGAAGCAGAAGGGCTTGAGGTTTTTTCTTCCTTTCTTGGAATGATTTTCCCATCAGAAAATTTCAGTTTATCAATATGATATATCAGTTTGGATAGGAGAGAGGAAGGCTAATTGATAGCATGACTGGAACATGGCAGATCGAGTTTGTGTTTCCCTTTGATTCTGAGCTAAGATTTTCTGAAAGGTCTGACTTTCTTATCTACATGTAATAGATAAGTTTTGCATGAGGAAAAAGAATGTTTACACTATGTGAATTGCCCAATTAAAATCAATCATTGCAAACTGAACAGGCATAGGCAATCAATTTATACTGATTGATACGCTACTGTACTGTCACACTCTGTGACAGTTTAAAAAAAGGAGCCTAGAAATTTCCCTTTTAGTATTATAGCCCCTCCAACCTGTCTTAGAGAGATACTTTACAATATCTGATTAACCCAATTGTGCATTTTATGATTTTCTTTGCTGCTAAGTTTGCTTATATTAATGCCAATTATCAAAATCCTATTTTTGACTGGACATCCAGATTGACAATTTTTTCAAGGTTTGCAGACAAACATACAAGGAAACGTGACTAGACTAAGGGCATGTGAATTCCTCTCTGACTTGTAAACAAATCAT